CCCTGAGCCCTGAGCCCTGACCAGTACTCCACACTGCTGCCCCCTGAGCCCTGACCAGTACTCCACACTGCTGCCCCCTGAGCCCTGACAGATCTGCCTTGGCATACAGGACAAGACCAGGCTACTCCACAAACATGTTCAATAAACCGAATTAATGAATATCGGTAAAGAACCAAAATAAGCATGTTTGCTCCAGAGTGATATTAACTCCTATGAAAACTTCAGCTAACTTTGTAAAATCAGCGCCGGAACCCCACGCCGCTGTACATTCTTTAAAACGAAATCAACACTGTCAGAAGCAAGTCTCTCCCCACTCTCCGTTTTCTCCCTGGCACTGCCGAGAGCATTATGTCATCTTAGGATACGTTTCTGAGATGTTTGACAGAGTAGGCTTGCTTTTCGCTAGTCTGTTCTTTTTTTTTTTAATTGCCTCTGTACAGTGATGAGTCTGTCTTCGGAGCGCTGCCCACATCGGCTTTGTTCACACCAAGCACGGTTTCCCAGAATCCCCCCCCCGCCGTGTGCTGATTAAGTACCCCAGAGAACACAGTGGTCCTGACTGAAACATATTATGCAGAAAAAATCAATTATTTCCCAAGCTTCGCGAGAGCTCCAGCCTCTATCAGCTTGCACTGTGCCCTTCACAGAGAGCGTCAGTCAATGTTTCCACATTACCAGCGTGCTGCCCTACATTCTCCGGCTCCACTGGGACACACTGTGCTTTTGGCAGGTGGATGCCAGAGAGAGACACATACACACACCTCGGTGTGCCATGCATGCAAACCATCCCCACCCTGCTGAATCGGAGAGGCATTCCAGTTTTTAAAAACCCTGCCCTACATAATCGACCGCAGTCAGAGAGATGCAGGAGAATAATTAAAATCTAGCGATTTCAAAAGGCAGACTGCAGATGGTAAGGCAGACGATTAATATTAAACACAGGAATCAATACCTGAGATTTTAGTTCTTGGTTAACTCTTTTGCATGAGAGGGGTCATTCATTTGCGTCTGCCCGCCAGAGGGTTTGCCTGTTACAGATCTGGGGGACTAATTAAGCTCGAATTGTCTCCCGGCTCTGCTGAGATGCGCTCACACGCAGATCCGCCCGGCCGCGTGCCCGTCCAGGGTGAGAATGCGGCTCCTGCTGCCCTCGGATGCCAGCAGTGCCAGGCCTGTGGGCAGGAATCAGGACCGCGAGTCCGCAGGGAGCCAGCACCACATGTGCAGGAAGGGTCATTCTGTGTCGGTCCGACCCTGCAGAGCACAAAGCAACCCCCATCCCACTACGCAACTCAGAAAAACTCAAGCGCACATTCAAAATCTTTCTACGCAACAATAGCGGTGCTATTCCAGCATATCTGAATTTCTCAACTCATTTGTACGGGTATTCTCCATTTCTTTGACATGTAATTGTGGCAGATTTATACAAAATGTTCTATCAAGAAACTGGATTTTAACAGTTTCATGCATAAGAACCGGCACACTGCGCCTACAACAACTTAACTCACTCTACTAAATCTCAGATTTTGTTTTCTCTATTCCAGGTTTATGGGACATTTATTCGTTATGTTTGTACTTTCATCCGAAACTATACTTTTTTGGCAATACAGAGTATAAATCTCACTAAACCGCTTTCTGCTTTAGTGCAAATGCTGATTAAAAGCAGCCCACTCTCAATGGGCTGACAATAGCAGGGCATCAGAGCCTGGAGAAATGTTATGAAGCTGGGTGCCAGGGGCAGGGCACCTCTCTGGACCTTGTGTCACGTGCCACAGCCAAAGCAACAAGGCAAGAAGACTAAAGAATGGAAGGAATTCGAAATCTTGCCATGTATTACCAAGATGACTACAGGATGCCATTCACACAAAGACATGGAAGCAATTATGGGGCATTTGTACAAACAATCCAGTCTTGTCCTTTAAGAAAGTTTACTACAGTAAATTTACAGCATTCTGACATTTTTTATTTTTGTGAAGCCCTAGCCACACTCTGCTTAAATTCTGTTTTTCCCAAGTCTATATTTTGTTTTACCATTTGTCTATGCTTTTACCCTGCTTTAAAAAAAAATATTTTTCAATATATACTAACCCAATCTGCAGTCACTAATTAATTTTAAGATTCGGCTCTCTGCCCAGGACCCCCACAGCCGCCTGGAGAACCTTGAGACCTGCTCCTCTGACACACTGACCCACAGAGCCAGCTGACTGGAAGTGTGGAGCTTCTCTGGCTTGTACCACTGCAAGCTGGAAACAGAGAACCGCGGACGACCAGCTCTGAGCCTGGGGTGGACATGGGCCCAATCCAGACGTTGCCTTCTGAGACGGCACGGGCTCGAACCCGTGACGCTGGGATCATCGAGCTGTCCCTGGATTTCACTGTGTGTTAAGACGTGTGGCTGTTCTTTCACCGTAGTTTAACTCCGCACCGTATTTTTAAAGGCTGACACTGGAAAAAACACCCCCAACTCGGAACCCCTGCGTTCAGCGTTCTACAAAAACACCAGATGCTCGCTCCTAGGCATCTGTGAGCTGTGAAAAAGACGAGGCTCCAATGATCAATACTTTCCTTCCCGTTGCTCAACAAACAATCCGTCCCCCCGTCTGGTTCGACACCGCTGTGAGGAATGTGGGAAGTCGGAGCAGAGA